CTGTTACAGACAACAGATCGATGTTTAGCTGTTACAGACAACAGATCGATGTTTAGCTGTTACAGACAACAGATCAGTCAACTTTCTTAATTAATAAACAAAGCATAAAGACTAAACAAAAGAGAGAAAAATGCACAAAATAGCCATTAAAAAGTCTCATGCTGAGAGGGAAATTACAGTTTAGAGAAATTGCATTTCCTGCAAAAAAAAAAAAAAGCAGTTGAATGCCTATTGCTGAATAACTTGTTGAAAAAACAACTGAAAATAGCTACAAAAATGATGAAATATTGCTGAAAGAACAAGAAAGCTGAAAGAACACGTTTTCTGAATTAGGTTAGAACATGCATGTTAGTCTGATTGGCAACTAAATTGTCCCTAGGTGTGAGTGAGAGAGTGAATGGTTGTTTGTCTCTATGTGTCCCTGTGATGGACTGGAGACCTGTCCAGGGTGTCCCCCACCTCTCACACAGCGATTGCTGAGCATGGGCACCAGTGACCCCCGTGACCCAAAAAGGAAGAAGCGAGTAAAGATGAGGGAAGGATGGATGGATGAAAGTTTAAATAAGCAGAAATGAACACATAAAATGCTAAATTAGCTATAAAAATTGAAAAAAGCTGAAGAAATAGCTGAAAAGTAGATTAAAAAGCAGAAAAAAAGCTTAAATTACCAGAAGGATGTGGAGAGAGCAGAGTTTTACCCAATTAGGCTTAAAGCAGAAATGAGCACAAAAAATGTGAAAATTATCTGAATTAAGCAGAAATTTGAAAAAACAACAACAAAAACAACAGCCGAACATTAGCTAAAGTGGCAGAAAGTTTAAATTACCATAAATAAGTGGAGAGAGCATAGTTGTACCTAATTAGGTTGAAAGAAGCAGAAATGAGCACAAAAAAGTGGAAATTATGGTAAAAAGGTAGAAATGTCCAAAAAAAACCAGATGAATAGTAGCTAAAAAAAAAAGGGCAGAAAGAAGCTTAAATTACCAGAAGGAAGTGGAGAGAGCACATTTTTGTTGAATTAGGCTGAAAAAAGTTTAAATGAGTGCAAAAAATGGAGAATTAGCTGAAAAAGCTAAAATTAGCAGAAAAACAGAAACTTGCAAAAATAAGCTGAAAGGAGTATAACAAGCTGAAATTAGCAGAAAGAAGTTAGAAGCAGCACAACAATATTGTAGATAGCAGAATAAAGCTGAAAAGATTGCAAAACAGCTGAACAAACAGCTGGAATTAGTTGAAAAAAAAAATTTGCACAACAAAGATGAAAGAAGCTGAACCAGAACCAAATGTGAAAGTAGCTGTAAAAGGTTGTAAACAGATCTAAAGATCTGAAGGAAGTAAAATGAGCTTAATTTATTTTTTATGAGGAAAAAAGTTGAAGAAAAGGCTAAATATTTCAAAAAGCTAAAGTTGCACGGATACCAAAAATTATAGCACCCTTCTCCTGAACGAGCTGAACGTTTTGATTTATGATTTGTTGAAATGGCACAAAAATTGTGGAATGAGAAAGATACAAAAAAACATACAGTAGTAAAGAACCCGGAATAATAAATATAAACAGGTTCACAATAGTGTGAATGCCTAATAAACATTCACACTACTAAGCAACAACATCAAAGTGCGCCCTCTGGTGGTGGATAAACCTCACAACTACAAGCAGAACATTCACAAATGAGTTTATTTAAAGCAAATTCGCAGTTACATTTTTACCTCATAAAAGGTAAGAAACGCTGTGTTTTCTTACCTTTGAGTCTTCTTGACTTGCTGCTAAATTTGAAACATCTTCAGAAAAAAGCAAAAAAACAAAACAAAAAGAATTTCCAACCAATATAAACCTTCATTGCTATAAAGTTTAAAACACAACACATAAGAAAATACAACCAGTCAGTGATGCTACAATAAAAATAAAAAATAAATGAAATCTAGAAACAAAATTCAGTTCAGCATTAAAGTCACACTTGAGTGATTTTTCAAAGCTATACACACAGAAATGTTTATTTTAGTACCTATATTCAGTCACAACAGTATGTCGGTCCTCAGTGTTTTAAATGCTCTTATGACGTAAAGCTGAAAACAGACATGCAACATCATCATCATCATCAGAAGGCACCTCTACGTAGCTTTAAAATACTGCCAACAACAGCAAAAAGCCCATAAACAAATTATTTACAAACAAAACTGTTGACCAGGAACATTCACATTCGTCACATTTTAAGGATGGAAGACAATCCTCTGTTTATTGCACATATTCTTTCTGCTGATTAAAAGCTTTTAAAACAATTTTTGGTTAAATGAAAGCAAAGCAAGCGAAGCCTTTTGTTCAAATGGTGCTCTCACGTGCGCTGTACGTCACTGGAAAATACATTTTCCTCTTATGCAATTCAGGCTCTGAGCTTAAACCAGACAGCAAAATGAAATGCTGCTCTCTGAAAGTGGGTCTTAGCTACAAAGTGTCACAATTATTAGGCGTTCTCGTTGACATCCAGTGTTGCGAAGCGTAAAATAAAAAATGATACAAAAAAACACAATGTGCATCTGTCCTTACGCTCACACTGCCTCCTCTGGATCAGCTTGTGACTACGACAGTAAACAAAAAGTAAAATCATTACGTCCAGCTGATGGTGAAGTTCTGGATGAGGTTCAGACCCAGATCTGTGACTGACAAGACCTGTAGAGGAAAACGAAATAAATAAAAACATCAGCAAAAACAAGTGTTTCAGGTGTAAAGGCAAGTCTTGTTGATCGAATGGAAACATCATTCTGAGATGTTTCTTTAAGGGAACAAGTTGACGCCCCCCATCGGCTTTAGGATTTAAATTAGTAGTTTTCAAGATTCAATCTAATTCAATTCAGTTTATTTATACAGCACCAAGTCACAACAGAAGCCGTCTCAGAGCACTGAACAGGAACATTCATATATAAAAATAATAAGTTAACACTATTTACTGCATCTGAGGAGCAGACTGCTTTGAATTTAACTTCATCACAGACTCTCATCTTGAGCAAGCATGAAGGCGACAGTGGAAAGGAAAAACTCCCTCATGAGGAAGAAACCTCCAGCAGAACCAAACTCAGGACAAACGGCCATCTGCTTCGACCGGCTGGGTTTGAGAGGAACATGAAGGAAGAACAGATACACAATGGCAGAACAATAATCACATGCTAAGAAATAATTTTTGTTTTAGCAAATCATTTTAAGAAATGTGGTCAATTTGTCCTCCATTAGTCTAAGCCTGTAGCAGCATAACAAGCCAACCCTAACTATAGGATTTATCAAAAAGGAAAGTCTTAATCCCAGTCTTAAAACTGGACAATGTGTCAGCCTCATGGACAGAAACTGGAAGTTGGTTCCACAAGAGAGGAGCCTGAGAACTGAAAGATCTTCCTCCCATTCTGTTTTTGGAAACTCTAGGAACCACAAGTAAGCCTGCAGTCTGAGAGTGAAGTGCTCTGCTAGGAAAATATGGAACAATAAGATCTTGAATATAAGATGGAGCTAGGTTGTTGAGGGCTTTGTAGGTTAGAAGTAAGATTTTGAATTCAATTCTGAATTTGACAGGGAGCCAATGGAGAGAAGCTAAAACTGGAGAGATATGAGCGTTTTTCTGGAAAGGAACTGACCAGGGAATGCAATGAAACCTTTTTTTGTCTTTGGTGCAAGACATTCATGTGAGTAGAAGTTACACTGTGTAGAACAGTGGTAGGTTTTTTTTTTTCTTGTCATAGAAAACCAACAGACCAACATTCATTATATGCAGGTTCCTGAGTCTGTGGAATTGAATAATTGATCGAAAGAGGCGTGTTTCAAATATTAGCAGTGTGGAGTTCAATTACTGAGGTCATTCTTTCTGTGAAGAAGCAGGTGTCAATCAGGTGGCTCTTATTTAAGGATGAAGCCAGCACGTGTTGTACATGCATTTCTCTGAAAACCTGATAAAAATGGGTCGTTCCAGGCGTTGTTCAGAAGAACAGCGCACTTTGATTAAAACGTTGGTGTGAGAGGAGAAAACGTATAAAGAAGTGCAGAAAAGGATGGGCTGATCAGCTAAAATGATCTCCAGTGCTTCAAAATGGAAAGCAAAAGCAGAGAAACGTGCAAGAAAATGAAAGACTACCATTGGAATGGGTCGAAGAAGAAGAAGACACGTCCTTGAAATGGGTGTTTCAACAACACGACAACCCTAAACACAGTAAGCGAGCAGCCACTTGGTTACAGACCAACAAAATCAAAGTTATGGGGTGGCCAGCCCAATCCCAGATCATTAATCTGATTAAAAGCTTGTGGGGTAACATCTAAAATGCTGTTTCTGAGGCCAAACCAAGAAAGGCAGACAAATTGTGGAATGTTGTCGAATCATTCTGGGCAGGAATATGTGTGTGCACAGGTGCCAGAAGTTGGTTGACTCCATGCACTTCTCAGAAACAGTGGTTCTATAACTAAATATTAGTTTAGTGATTCACAGGAATGAACAGTTCTAAAGATTTTCCAGTTTATACAGTAAACAGGAGTTTGCAAAACTAACTGCTTTTGAACAGCCCAATGTTCATTTATCTTCATTGTCTGTAAAGTGATTAAAAAAGTTTTGCATTTTTCTTCATGGTTTGATTTAGAATATAAAGTGCAGTGTTCCCCTTGACTCTACATCAACTTTGAAGCAAACTTTTTAGAAATATTTCTTTGAAATTCTACAAAATATTAGGTACGCTGGCTCCGGACCTTTGGACATGGCAACATTTGGACTGGTGTCAGTGGTTTAGGACTGGTTTTTAAATCAGACACCAGCTCCAAAACAGCACCAGAACCAGAACTTTGGAAGGAACCAGTGGTGGTCACAGTTAATCAAAAAGTTGGCTTTGCTAACCACCAATTTGCTAACAAAAACTAGCTTTGCTAACGCTAAACTGCTAAAAAGATTATTGTTTTTTTAAATATCGGAAGCTAATGCTAAAGCACTAACTTTTATCATACACTGCTATCGCTGACATTGTAATGTGACAACATTGTAAGTGAACACAACTCAAAACGGTTCATAAATCACAAATAAAGCATCCATGTCCCGTTCAGAGGTGAGCCTTCAGAAATTAATCTGCTTCATCAGAACCAAAGAGGTGGAGCAAAACCCTGCTGTGCTGAAGCAGAGTGATGCATTCAACGTGTGTCGGACGTCTCTCGTGTCATTTACTACTATGAATTAACTCACGTTAGTGATCCTCTTTGTGGTCAACTACTTTTAAAAACTAGCTTGAGCATCATCATCAATATTCTCTTGGTAATAAATCGGTTTGCGTTAAAGATGTGTGAAAACATGTGTGAGAGAGTCACGTCCCAGAGACAGTGTGAGCCTTGCAAAGCATGCTGGGTAGGAATGGTGTGTGCAGTGTCTCTCTGTTCACAATGTTTCTGACTGTGAAAAGGGTTTTTTCTTTATTTACCTGTTCTGGTTTGGCATTTATCTTAAAGTCTTTGTTGTTGGTTGTAAACTGACACCATGAGTCAGAGAATGGTTGTGGTAGATAAGAGGAGGAAAAACACTGTGAGAGCAGTGACACTGGGCAGTGATTAGCTTTGCTTAGGTCTGCATGAGGTACAGCATAGTGTACCTTGGTGTAAATCACCATTATTCTGAATGTTTTTAGTGAGAACTGTCTTAAAAAAAATTAGAAGACCTGAATTTACCTGATTTAAACTTAGCCAGATCTACCTGTAATTCTGCTAAAGGTTTTCAAAGTTAGTGAAAACTCTAATCAGCTAGTTAGTTCTGCTATTAGCAGATTAGCAGAACCGTGTCCACCACTGGTAGGAACAATATACATTGCTGTGCAGCTTTCTACTTTTATTTGTTCACAGAGCTGCAAATGGAAAAGTAACGACTGTTAAACTGAGAGATGAAGATGAAAAATGTGAGAATGTTGCGCTTTTCTCTTCTAATTAACTTGTACAAAATAGTTGCTACAGTTTCAGTGTCATCAGTTTGCTCTTTTAAATGGATAAATTATCATAAATAATTGTAATTATTATGCGTATCATTTCTTTATGAATTCCAAAAAATAAAACACAAGCATTACGACTGTTATTTACACAACACCAGTGCTCACCTGGTTGACTCTGTAGGTGAACGGTACATCTTGGAAATTCACCAGCACTTTATTTGGCTTCTCCTGGACACCGTAGAAAGATGCGGAGCCTACAGTCAGGAATGACGCTTCCTGTTGGCTGTGGAGCACCTGGGATGTCATCATATTCTGAAAAGAAAACAGGATAATTATTAAATCAAACTACTATACATTTGTACTAAAAATTCCTCCAACTAAACAGTATGCAACATTTGATAAAGTTTTTTTTAAACAACTTATTTATTTTATATTGGATTGCATCTTTGAACTAACTTGAATTCTACAGGGAGCATAGATACATTCCCACACAGTATCGATCTAAATTGTCTTTATAGTATAAAATAGATAACAGATAACTGTAAAAAGACAAGTTCAAAGTAAACGTCAGGACTTTTTAGACACACAATTCAAACAAGGCTGAAACTTTTGACGAGTGTAGGAATACTCTGTTTCTGAGCAGAGTATTCAGTCTCCAACTTCCCTCCCAATTTATACAAAATAAAGCAAAGTTAGTCCAAGTTATCAGCGGCGTTTCTGACAATCAGAATCTGACTGTGATTACAGATGGGGGGGAGGTAGTGGAAGAAATAAAAACCTGAGCGACGCTGAAGATGACGTAGGTGTACTGGTTGGTCTCGTAGGTGTTCACGGTCTCCCCGTCGTCCCAGAACAGATCTCCACTGGCAGAACCATCATCAGAAAGAGCCGAGACCAGGTGCAGAGGCTGGCCGCTGCTTATCCACAGAGTCAGGTTGGGTGCCTGTTCACACATTAACAGAGAAATATTAGGAGTGAATTGCATTCCCTGCGACAATGCAGTGTGAATGCTTATTGCTGAAGAACTTGCAGAAAAACAGCTGAAATTAGCTAAAAACATGTTGAAATGTAGCTGAAATTAAAGAACAAGGCTAAGTTAGCAGAAGAAAGCAGAAAGAACACATTTTGCTGAATTAGGTTTACATAAGCAGAAATTAGCACAAAAATTAGATAAAAAAGCTGAAATTAGCAAAGAAAATTGCTGAAAAATAGCTGAAAGGTGGGCAGCACGGTGGCGCAACTGGTAGAGCTGCTGCCTCTCAGCGAGCAGGTCCCTGGTTCAAACCCCGGTCCAGGGGCCTTCTGGGTGGAGTTTGCATGTTCTCTCCGTGCATGCGTGGGTTTTCTCCGGGTACTCCGGTTTCCTCCCACAGACCAAAAACATGCATGTTAGGCTGATTGGTAACTCTAAATTGTCCCTAGGTGTGAGTGAGAAAGTGAATGGTTGTTTGTCTCGTTTGTCTCTATGTGTCCCTGTGATGGACTGGAGACCTGTCCAGGGTGTACCCCGCCCCTCGCACAGTGATTGCTGGACATGGGCACCAGCGACCCCCATGACCCAAAATGGAATAAGCGGGTAAAGAAAATGGATGGATGGATGGATGAAAGGTCAGAAAGAAGCTTAAACTACCAGAAGGAAGTGGAAGGAGTTGAAAAGAGCTAAAAAAAAAAAAAAAAGTGGAATTAGTTGAGAAAGCTAAATTTGGCACAAAACAGCTAAAAAGTACCAGTAGTTGAAATAGCAAAAAAAGCTGAAACTAGCTGAAAAAACTGAAAGGAGCATACAAGCTGAAATTAACAGAAATAAGTTAATTAGGCTGAAAGTAGCAGAAATTACCACAAAAACCTTGAATTTAAATGAAAACAGCTGAAATTAGCTAAAAAAAAAAATTAAAATAGCTGAAAAGGTAGAACAAGCTTAAATGAGCAGAAGAAAGCAGAAAGAACACGTTTGCTGAAAGAAGCAGAAATGAGCACAAAAAAGTAGAAATCATCTGAAAAAAGATGAAATTAGAAACAAACAGCTGAAAAGTAGCTGAAAAAGCAGAAAGAAGCTGAAATTACAAAAAGGAAGTGAAGAGAGCAAGTTTTTGTTGAATGGGGCTGAAAAAAGTTGAAATTAGCATTAAAAACAGCTATATAGTAGCTGAAATAGTAGAAAAGGCAGAAAATTGCAAAAATAAGCTGAAAGGAGCATAACAAGCTTAAATAAGCTGAAAGAAGTTAGAAGCACAAAAATGTTGTAGTCAGCAGAAAGAATCTGAAAGGAGCCAAAAACAGCTGAAAAAAACAGCTGAAATTAGCTGAAAGTAGCAGAAAAAATTAAAATTTGCACAAGGAAGCTGAAAGAAGCTGAACCAGAATAAAATGGGAAAGGAGCAGTAAAAGGTTGTAAACACATCTAAAGATTTGAAGGATGTAAAATGAGCTCAATTCATTTTCTGTGTGAAAAAAGAAATGTAGAAAAGGCTAAATATTTCAAAAAGCTAAAGTTGCACCAATACCAAAAGTCATAGCAGGATTGTTCTGAAAGAGCTGAACGTTTTTGATGTATGATTTGTTGGAAGTAGCTTGAAAACTGCGGGATCAGAATAACGCCGAAAACGTACGGAAGAACGTCCAAAAGACTGAAGAAGTCTTTTGGATAAAAGATGAAACGTCTCAACAAAGAAGAATCCATCCAGAGGACTTGACTCAGCCTTGTTATGTTTTTATGATTTGTTTTCTTTATTTTTTATGGTGCGGTCTCAGAATTGGTCAATTTTTGCACAAACTTTCAGAGGACTCAAACAGTTTTATGTATTTCGTGTATATTCTATTTACCTGCGTTGGTACAACAGAACCTTCTCGTAAATGTACGTTGATCTTGTCTAACGGCGCATCGAGCCGAAGCACTTCTCCTTTGCTGCGCACAGAGTCACCCTGAGGAGAAAATAAATACATGTGAGAACTAAAGCCCTTCTTTTTAACTTTCATCAATTTGTTTATACCGAGTCTTACCGTGAAGTAGTCGTACCACACACCCTCGGGGAAGTAACCGTCCACATAGTCAACTCCAGGATCCAACACGGGTGTCACTAACAAACTCTTTCCCCAAAGGAACTGTTTGTCAACCCCGTACGTTTTTACATCTTTTGGAAACCTGAAGCATACCCAGAGTTAAATGACATACAAGAGAAAGCACACACAAAAAAATAAATAAATAAATAAAACGCTCAACTTACTCAAACATTATTGGCCGTGCAACAGTGTGTCCGTGTACGTGTGCGTGATGGAAGAGTGTGTAGAGGAAAGGAAAGAGGGAGTAACGCAGCAGCAGAGCCTCTTTCATGGCTGTACGAGCGAACGGGCTGAAAACTGTCGGGTCCTGAGGCTGTGAAGATATTTATTTAAGAAACAGAGGAAAAAAAAACACAACTTCTACAATGTGCATGATCATAAAATCGTTAGGAAGGCAAACACTACATTAAATCAGAGAAAAATACATTATGTAGGTATGGTACGATTATATATTATACATTATATCCTTGTTGCCACATATTTCAAAAATATTAAGAGAAATTATTTATAACCAGATTAGATCGATTCATAGATAACAGAATAATTTAAGTAATAGTCAATATGGGTTTAGAGCAAATAATTCAACATCAATGGCGCTCATGGAACTAATATAACAAATGCTGTTGATCAAGAACAGTGTTGTGTTAGCGTTTTTGTTGATTTAAAAAAGGACTTCAACACAATTGACCACACCATTCTCCTTGAACAACTGAATAAATATGGCGTTAGAGGATTAGCACTACAGTGGGTATCTAGTTATTTGAATAATAGGAGACAGTTTGTACAGGTAAAAGATCAGAATTTTGTGTTAATGGATGTGGAGTTCCTCAGGGCTCTATGTTGGGACCAAAGTTGTTCATTTTGTATGTGAATGATCTGGTTGATGTGTCAGGACTTTTGAAGTGTATTTTATTTGCAGATGATACCACTTTTTTGGGGGGGTGAAGATATTGAATGGATGTTAGAGATGATACGGGCAGAATTTGTAAAAATACAAACTTGGTTCCAACTTAATAAGTTATTAAATTTGGAAGAAAAAAATATATATTTAGTAATAGAAATAAAATGATCGAAGTCCCATTTAAAATTGACTGTATTAAAATTCATAGAGTTAATGAAATAAACTTTTGGTGTGTTGTTATTGATGAGAAGCTGACATGGAAATCTCGTGTAAATTACTTAATAAAAACAGCAAAATCAATTGCATTACTGTTTAAAGTAAAACAGTTTTTGAATGACAAAGCTTTGTATATATTGTATAATGTAATGATTGTTGCATATTTAATCTATGGTATTGAAATTTGGGGAAAAGCATGAAAAAAAATTAAACCCTATTTTCATTTTACAAAAAAGAGCTATAAGAATTATTAGTAGGAAGTGTCATGGTCACCCAACAAATATATTATTTCATCAGTTGAAATTATTAAAATTTTATGATTTGGTTGAATATAGTATTTTACAAGTCATGCATAAAACTCATAAAAAATATTACCCCCAAATATTCAATTAAAATTTATTTAAAAAAGAGAGTCATTATAACCTTAAGGGAATGTAAATGTTTGTAAAACCTCCATTTAGAACCAGTCTGAAGGAGCTGTGTTGTAATTCAGGGAATAGGATTATGGAATTGCCTCAATATCACCATAAACATTTCTAAAACAATTTATGCGTTTAAAAAGATGATTAAGTTAAAGTTGTTGGGAAGGTATGGTGCCAAGTGACGAATGCCTGATGTTTTTTGTTTTCAGTTTGGAGATTGTTCAAGTGTAGGTTGTTGTTTGTTTGTAGTTATTTATTTATTTAAATAAGGGGCAGATATTATATTTTTTTCTTCTTTCTGCACCCTTTTCATTCAATGTTTTTTCTTTTTGATGAATTTGTTTTGTTTATTTTGTTTCTTTTAATTGAATGAATACATTAATAAATAAAAAATATATATTATTTAGTGAGAAAGTACAATTACATCGCTCTTTTAGGTTGAACAAAACAAAAAATCCTTGAAACAGCTCCCGACAGCTATTTTTATTTTCACAATTAAAACGTGTTGAAATTCCAATTAAATGACTACATATCCAGTTGATAACTTCATAAGATATATGTGCGCCTCACACCTGTGCTTTGTCACAAAGCCTTCTGGATTTTTAATACGCAACGTTTACCTGCGTGCCAATGGAGTTATGGTTTCGCGCGAAAGGATAGAACGCTCCCAGCTGAGTCCAGCGAATACACAGTTCCTCCTGTGGCTCCTCACTGAAGCCACAGATATCTGCTCCAACCAACGGAATGCCAAGAAGGTTAAAGGTCAAGATACCTGGAATTGAATAACGTGAAAAATATGAATAACGTGAAAAATATGGATTATAATACACACGTCAACTTACTTTAAGACAAGATAAAAACAAGATAAAATGTCTTTATTGCCACTGTATATAAAAAAAAAAAACCCAACACAATAAAATATCAAAAAACACAAAAGAACACTAAACTGGAGAACCAGAAGCTGCTGCATTCAGTAGTGCACTATGCTCAGACTCAGAGTACTGCAGTGACATCTAGTGGCAGAGCTGTGTATTGCAGACACTTCTTTTATGCCTACCCTTTTGTAAGCTTGTAAGATAACTGGTTGTGAGAAATGATGAAAACGCTGAACAGGAAAAGCTCAATCTGAAGTCTGTGTCTAGTCGTCAGTTCAGCCACAACAGAAGCACAGCAGTGCACCAAACATGCACATCTGCATCACAGTTCATTTCAAGTAATGATTTTCCCGAGTGCAGTATGATGGAACTTAAATGGGTAATTTCAGTTTTCTTGAATAAAATCTTACATAAAATACTTTTTTTGGCATTTATTTTCAACACAAACACACGTTTTAAAAAAATTCATAAAAAGTACCAATGTGTGTAAGGAGGTATTTATCTGTGTGCCTGAAGGTAGAATGGGTTCAGGTTTTATTTAGCTGTTACTCATTCTGTTTTGATTTTTGATTTTTTCTTATTGTGTACAGTAGTACCTCACTAGTTTGCGGTTCAACTTTCGCAGATTCGCTCTTTCGCAGTTTCAAAGTAAGATTGAGCATGAGGAAAAAAAAAATAATTGTACACGACACGATTGTCAACTTTAATATTACTCACGTGATTGGGACTGTACTGGATACTGTCCAGTAAAAAGTTAATGAAAAAATAAAATACTTCAGACAGTTGCCACCATTTTGTAGTTTTCTCTCAATAAGCCTACACTGTATCCCCATCATAACTACATTTCCCAGAAGCCCTGTTGCCTTCTGCTGAAATACTAGAGGGAAAGTTTTTCATTAAGATTTGGACTCGATCGAACCACCATCTGGTCCCGTGCTGGACATCCGAAAGTCCGGCTCCCTCCAAAATGCATTTCGGTGCTCAAGAGCTGCACAGAACCAGAGCAGAACCGGCAGGGTAAGGTCTGCCAGACCGGAACTAAGCTGCTGTTTCTGCAGAGCTGGTGAGTAAAAATTTGCAGTACTGTGCAGTTAAAATTACTGGTAGTAGGTTTAAGCGTTTAGAACATTGCAAGAGCGTGGGAAGGGTTTCTAAACCTTAAAATATATAAAAATACTAAAAGATAATGTCCCTACTTTGCGGTTTTTGACTTATTACGGGGTCCAGAACGTAACACCCGCAATAAACAAGAGACTACTGTATCTCTAAACTGTTCATTTTTTAGGTAAAGAAAATGTTTCATGAAAACTGTGGATTTATCAGCAGCTGCTTCAGCCTTCACCTTTTTTATGACTTGTTACAGTATTATCTTGTTTCAACAGTCAGTATAACTGTGTTGTCTTATTATATGCATATTTTTTTTCAATAATCTGAAATAAACAAATAAAAAAAAACTTGTCTGAGCCTTTAACCTGAGATCGAAGTGTAAAGCTCTTTCCACAGGCTCCTGTTGTCTCCCAGCCAGTGACCAGAGTACATCCCCTGACTGGGGAAGGTGGAGCGAGAGATCACAAAAGGTCTCTTAGACAAAATCCGCTTCAGAGCGCTGAACAAAAAAAAGAAGAAGAAGAAAATAATAGCAATAAGATTTAAGAAAGTCTTTTAGTGATTTCAGTGTATTAAACGTACAAACCTTGCAGTGGCTTTAGCTTCCATCAGTCCATAGAGATTATGCAGATTATAATGTGTGGATTGATTCTGCTGTGCAGAGGTACACACTGTTTTGGATCTCAGCAAACCTCCCAGCACGCCTGAAACAAAACGTACATCTTACCAGTCAGAAAGGATTATTTGTTGAAGTTGTTTTGTGTGTGATTTGTTTGTAGGATGCGAGTCTTCAACCTGGAGTATAAGGTGGATTTTCAAGACTGTTTGATGGACAGCCTTTTGTTGATCCATCCAGGAAGTTTGAGGGCTCGTTCATGTCCTAAAGATTAATACAAACGTCAGTGAGTGGTGTAAATAAAACATTTTGAACTCAGCGTATATTTGAATCATTTACGTACAATCCATAATCCATCAAAAGGGACCTTCTCATGGAACCTGCGCAGGTTGTCGTACCACCATTCATGCGTCACTTCAGCAGAGAAATCAGGATAGGCTGTCAGACCAGGCCACACCTGACAGAAGAGATACATTATATTAATTGTTCAATCCCATGTTTAGGAGTCCTGGTGAACCAGGATATGAATGACTTTGAGACATTGTGAAATTCTGGATTTGACTGCAGTTAAAACAAAAACAGGTTCAGCTAAACTGCTGCAGCACTGAAGCTGAACCAGGTGTCTCGCACACTGAACGTCTTACAAAACATGATGTGTTCCTCCACATGAATGATCTGATCTTTTTATCTTAAAGAACTGCTCACTGCTCAAACATCAACACGGCCCCTCCGTTCCACAAATTTCTACCAGCTCTGCCCTCCCTGGACAAAACTGTGCACCATGGGTGACAGGGCCTTTTGCTCTGCTCCTCGTCTGTGGAACACTCTCCATGACCATCTAAGATACCCCAGACTACAGAAAGCTTTAAGAAAGGACTGAAGACATTCTTATTCGAAAGAGTTTATAGTTTTTAAATGTCTTTGTTTTTAGCTTTTCAGTTTTTTATTCCAAGTTTTACTTTCTCTAGTTGCTTTATAGCACTTTGAGATTGTAAAATGTAAAGTGCAGTAAAAATAAAATACATTATTATTATTATTGTTATTAATATTATATTATTATATAACAGTAATTATTAATGTGTTAATGTTTTTATTACAAAACATGTTTTTGTCTCTTTCAGTCTATAAACTTAATATTGCATATATTGACTGATGAAGCCTTCCGGATCGAAGGTGAAACGTTTCAGCACTAAAAAAGAAACTGTCCAGATGACCTGACTGAAAAATGTTGGATTGTATACTAGTGTACAACTACACTATACTGTATACTAGTGTACAACT